GCTATTGAAATGGCAGCCTAATGTAAGACACAACTTTTATCAAACTACACCTGCCGCTCTACACAGAAAGTATCTGTTTACTTTATCATCGCAGGTGTTCGTATTTCAACACATGTACTGGGTGACTTTAGCCGTTGTATACATCACAGTGCAAAGCACCATCAGCATTTTCAACTTTGGTTTTATTTTGTGGTGTTTCTTCTTCCTGTGGCACGGCCAAGCGCTCTACCTTCAGCCGAGAACAAGACTGTTCATACTTTGGAAGATCTTCATAGGTTAGAAATACTTCACACTTTTGGCTAAAGTTTGTCTACAGGTAAAAAGACCCTCTTTGTTTGTGTGGAAACTTTGCTAGCATTAATGACTGCGAACCTTGTAAATTATTTTGGAAGTTTTCCTACATTTCATGGTCGAGAGAAGTCTCTGACAATCCAAAGAACTGAATTTTTCCGTACCCTCCTTCAAAAGGATCGCGGATGAAATTTCGTTCTCCTTGGATTTTTTCCTCCCCAGTCGCGCCCAATCGAATGTGCTGCTCGCGCTTTAGTATTTTCCAGCTTTGAGAGGAGGACTGGGGACTACGCGACCTATGTGGTCGGTTTACAGTCATTCACATATAAGTGAAAAAAATACCTTGTTCTGTTGAGGATAAAGAAGTAACGAACTGAACGTAGCTGCAATGAAAGAAATTTCAGAGAAAGAAGTATTCAAAGATTTAGGCTTCGACAGTACGGGTTTAAAATCCATTGAGGTCTGAATTTTTCTAGAGTTCCTTCTCTGCGATTTCTTTACTATTAGGTTATACCTAAGGATCACTTCGTTACATGTTTGTGTGTTTTGTTTGGCTCATTTACGTAATTTTCAATGCAGTTGTTCTATGCTGTTTTTGTGAATTTTTCATTAATCAATGTCTAAGATTGAAATCATTTTAACTTCTCGTTCCTATATGATTTCCTCTTTGTCTCTTTCCCGCAGCTTGTATCCTGTGTCTATGTAGAATATGTGAAAAAACACACCGGCTGCTGGGCGTTACAGTTGTTAAGCTTGTACTGTTTGAGAGAGGGTGGCTACAAGAACAGCGTGCAAACCAAGAATGATCATTGCGTGGCTCCGGATGACACGGGACTTGCTATGGACTGCGCATGCTTTACCTTCCTTGTCCTACAGTATCGTGTATTCACATCAGATTATTTCAAGCACGTGGTGCGTGATCACAGAGAGCAGTCAGACATGGCCAGCAGGTCAGCGGCAGTTAAAAATAGATATGTTTCGCACTTCTAGAAGGGGGAGAATAGATATGGCAGCAGCGAGAGCGCATGCTTCTTCTAAGTGATACTGTTACAGGAATCTGCGTCACGAACCCAGCCTTTGTAGTTTTTTAATGGTACATTTCGTCGTTCTTACCTTTGTACCCCCCCCTGAAAATATCTCTCCATTTTCAATGTCGTCATTGATGCTGATCAGGACTTATACGACTTTACTCACAGATAATGAAGATTTGAGAAATTATTATTTGTATCACAGTTATAGATAACGCCTTATGTGGTCTCGAGTCTTTATTGTGAATTTTATTCATGGATGTATGTTGGTTTTCTTCAGGGGTGCTGAGTTAGTTGATGAACATGTTCGCGCACAGTTGGATGCCGTGAGACGAGAGGACAAAGGAAAAATGGATAGAATTAGGAAATCGTAAGTGGAAGACTTGTTAACCTTGCGGCCTTATTAGAAAAAACCTGTCAACTCATTTTAATGCGCCTAATTGAGGGCTTAATCAAGCGCACTTGAGATTTTGTTCCATTCTACACTCTTTTGAATATCTTCAATGGTTTGGTAAAGCCGCCAGTTTGACTACTGCAGCTTAGTATCGGATTGCTGTAGTACAAGTCTGGCCGAAAAACTTCAGAAGCACCAGAACCGTGCGGCTCGTATATTGTTGTCTGCCCCTTATGATTGTAGTGCTCTAGACCTGTTCCGTAGACTTCATTGGAAAAACCTAAGGAATCAGAGGCTTTTTGCCAAAGCCGTTATGATGTTCAAAATTCTAAATGGACAGACACCTTATTATTTATCAAATAAATTCATCTTTCGCAATGATGCTACTAGTTATAGATTGCGAAATAGTGAAGTGAGGCGGGCTCTTCCGCAACCTCTCCCCTCCCCCTCCCTCTCCCCCTCCCCATCCCGCTTCCTCTCCCTCTCCCCTTCCTCTTCCTTTCCCCCTCACCCTCCCTCTGCCTCTCCCTCTCCCCTCCCTCTTGCTTTCCCCCTCCCCCTCACCCTCCCTCTCCCTCTCCCTCTCCCCCTGCCACATTGTAGTGTTACTCAGAAGATGAGATGCCACACTGTGAAAACGCCAACTTTCCACTGCTCGTTTTAGCTTGGTGCCCCGTTGTAACTGACAGTATTCTATTATTTTTACAACTTTTTTTTGTTGTCTTTGTCGTAAACAAAGGCTACATAAGCTGAAACAGAAGCTGGCCAAGTTACACCCGACAGGAGTGCAGTTCGAACCACAGTCACACTATGAAGGTAATATAGTCTGTAATGCCACCGTTAGTTTTTCAGTTTTGGAAAACTTTCTGCCAGAGACTCGCGTAGTCAGTGTTTGCTTTACGCAGTTTTTTATTTAAAGGAGCTTGCTCAATCGTGCACCAGCCTCAGAAAACTTAAAGCTACCAACCGATAGACGTTTTGATTAAATTGTCTCTTTGTCATCCACTGTATTCGTAACAATCGCCGCATTTGGTTATCATTACTTTCGCAACCTGTTTTGAAGTGTTGTACATGTAAAGAATTCGGTTCTGAATTGATGTAGATAAGGCATGCGTCTTTAATTTGGCTTGGTTAACAATTGCTCTTATCATACCCGAGTTAATGCTTGATTTCTGAACAGTTCCATCATGGCAGATTACAAACCCGTGTTTAAACTTGGCTAATTATTTGTCACTCCAGCAACAATTATTTGTCACTCGTCCTCCCAGTTAGATCAATGGATAGACCGCCGGACTGTTGTGCGGGAGGTCGAGGGTTCGAGCCCCCGGCCGCGGACCAACACTCAAGGTCTTAAAACAAGTGTGAAGAATATGCTACCTTTCTACAAAATCAAGAAATGGTTTGATATTCTAGTCTTCTCTGATAGGGACTAATAAATGGAGGTCTCGTCCCCTGCAGGGTTAGGGTAGGAGACGTTAATTTCCCACACACGAGATTACTGTGTGATGGATGTCCTCCCCTGGGGTAGGATGGGTGGGTTGGGTTTTGGTGGGTGAACCTAGTAGGGGACTACGTGTCCTATTGTTCTCCCACCTGTACAAAGTACAAATCTTTAAATACAATAAATACAATACAATACAATACAATTCCATGATGTGGAGCTTAATTATCTTAATAATTCCTTGTATATTACAAACCATTTTTTTTGGCTTCTATTTCTTTGTATTTGATTGGTAGCGCTTGACTAATCCCGCTCTGGTTTCTTTTATCTTATGCAGCAATTTACTCTGGTGATTACAAGTGGTTTGAAAGTGAATCAGAGGCGGAGTCTGAGGGCGAATCGGTCACAGGGAGTCCAACGCATGACAGAAGTCGCAGTCCCGCTGAGGCAGAAGGAGGTNCCCTGTTGCTAGAAACTTTTGAGAATGATTTTCTTACATCCTCATTTTGTTAAAACAATTTTGATCACAGAGAAACCAAGCGAAGTCCCGGGAGAGGCCTCAGGAGGCGCAGCCTCTGGTCGAAAGAGTTCTAGCAGTTCAATTGACAACGAAGATGAATTCGTAGAAGTTTGCGTCCCGGAAGCGCTTGGCGATGACGGCCAGCAGGATGGGTTCGTCTTCAAAATTACTAAATGGTGGAGTTGGTTGTATTATTATATCGCTATAGCTGTGGACAAAGTCATCGACTTGTTAAATGACATCTCAAAAGACTACAGAGAGATAGCCGGCCAGCTTAAGAGAGAACAAAAGGAGAAGAGATTCGAGACGCTGCGTCTTGCTAAGCTCGGTTACGGAAGTGTGCGCATTCGGTTCGGTGAAGCTTCGGATCCCGAAGCAGATACGAAGGTGCGTGTGAGGATACTTTTTTCCTTGCATTTTGTAACCTACATTCAATTCATTATACCCTAAAATCAGTACGCATATTCTCTGTTCTTTTCTCTATACATTTCCTAAGATGATGATGAGGACAATTTGTTGAACGAGCTTCTTTAGTTGCTGTTCATTTCCTTTATTCTCGCTACCTTAATGTGCGCTTCAGGGGTGATATTGTAAGGAGAAATTAGATGCTGGTCTATCTTAGGGGACAAAGGGTCAACAAGGTGGATATGAATAAAGGCTGATAGTTTCGAAAGAAACTGTTTGGGGCTGCGTCGGTGGGAGTAACTAAATAATTTCGCTCCGACGAAGGGCTAACGCTCGAAACGTCAGCTTTTGTAATCGTTAAGGTGGATATGAACTTTACAAGAAACATGGCATTGAGATTTTAGTCGCCTGCTTATTCTCCCGGTCTTTCGATTGTTGTGAAGAGAGGGCAATGCTCTGTGGGTAAAGAGCGATGCCTGGTGGCTGTATTTAAACGTTCTCATGGTAAATATCCTCGAAGTCCAAGAATATGTTATGTTAATTCATATAGTTTACAGTTAGAAAGAGCACGAAACTAGTGTGGCTTATACAATTGTAGGAGATTACAGCCTAGATTCCACCCCACCCTCACGCGATATTTTAACAAGTTGTTATTTAACCCGCAGAGTATGACGTCACGGTTTACCACGGAGGACGAGGACGCATGGTCTGCGTCAAACTTCGATCTGGACGATGCCGACGGAAGCGCGAGCTGGCGTAAATCCAACATGCGCATCTCTCGTTTAACAATAGCCTTCGTTTACGCGCTCTTGGCAAACACCGACATCTTGTGCTACATGCTGATGATTTTAAACCACATGGTGTACGCTAGCGTCTTATCGTTGCCACTTCCTTTCTTGGTGTTCCTGTGGGGCATGTTGTCCATCCCGAGGCCGACAAAGATCTTCTGGATCGCCGTAATGACGTACACACAAGTTGTAATCGTTTTTAAGTATCTTTTCAAGTTTCAGTTTATCGAAATCGTTGATTGTAATCCGTCTGACGGATTGGAAAAGAACAGTCCGTTGTGTACACCAAGAATAATTGGTATTGAACGGGATGGACACACGTCTGCTTATGATCTGCTGTTGCTCTTGGTGCTGTTCTTTCATAGATATTCCTTGAAGGTAACATCCTATTTTAGTATGGATATATCAACAAAGTTGAAATTGTAAATTGGCCACCGTAACGATTATAAAAGCTGACGTTTCGAGCGTTAGCCCTTCGTCGGAGCGAAG